CGTAACATTTGTTGAGCCGTACAATTTACACACGATATTTCATCCTCTTCGACTCCGACAATGAATCGCCGAACAAAAGCTCCCTCGCTAGTGCCGGACATCATCGAAATTATACTCCAATTTCTGTTGACGGACGAGCCAAAAGATACAAGAGACCACGGTCAACGTCGAAAGGGTCTCCGGCAGCGAATGTGCAGCTATTCTCTCATCGCCAAGGAATGGCGCCTACCCGTCCAACGCATCCTCTTCGCCGAAGTCGACATATGGACACACCACAAATTGAAAAAGATGGCTCTTATACTACCAGTAAATACACAACAAGGACGATTTCTTCGAGGGTGTGTCCGTTCGTTGAGATTGTGGGTAATCGGGCCAGGCGAACCGAATAGAATCCTAGCAGAGGACATTCCATCTGTCATGCGTCAGTTCCCCTCTCTCTATGAACTCAGGTTGGATACGAAAACTCTCGAGTTTTTCAGTTCTGAAACAATGCGCGATTTCCAAAAGACCCCCAGTATACAGACTCTCATGTTGACGCGATCCGCTCATAAAGAGACATCTGGCCGGGAAATTCAGAGCGCAACGACTATAGGGTTTGATTTGCAGCTACTGTGTAAAGTTCCACACTGGAAACTGCGTCGTTTTGTTCTCGGAAGAGGTCTCCAAGTACCGTACCGCACATTATCACCCCCTCTACATCGATTAGAAGAGGTTAGATTCCATGGAACGGTCCAGTGGAATAGAGAACTCGACTATATATCAAAGGGGATTGGCTGGTATCTTCAAAATTCGATGGAAACAATTCAAGTCTTCTCGACTACATGCCTTGGATACGACATTTCTAGGCTTCAGTCAGGGATTAATAACCGAATTCAATCTGTGGAAACTTTATACGTTGACACTAAGTTGTTTTCCTTCGGCACCTTCCGAGGATTGAGAGAGTTAATGTGGATCTACACTCGATATCCTTGGCACCCAGCTGAGTTGATCCCAACAAAAGCTCTTTCGTATATGGACAATATTCAACACCTTGGATTTCAATTTACGACAATTTATGCAGGGAACTGGCCCTTTAGAATAGATATCATGCAAACACCAATCACTAGCATCACACCTACCCCGCCGCCGGTTTTTCCAGTCAATCTCAGGAGGATATCGATTATAGGATACTCGGGCACGGCTGGGAGGATTCAGTCCGAACAGGCATGTATTCAACGGCAAGTTAGCAACGACATTGAGGTTCGTCTTTATCGCGACCTCAAAGAGTATAAAGATGGAGTGGTAAGTTTTTCGCCCCCGAATCTCGGCCATGAACTCACATTTACACATCCGCAAGCCTCTGAAGCTCATACCACGTGATTATGAAACATCTTCATCTCCTAAAACTGCCGACTACTCTACGATGACAAAGCTCGTCAATCAAGCTAATGAACGCTTTAGCCGGCACTCAACTGCTATCAGGACTTTGAAAGCTAAGTCACAGCCACCAGCCAATTCCCTTTGATATATGGCCGGGTTCTCTACTCCATTTGATCATCCCATGAAATCTAATCTCCTCAAGTCGATGCAGAGGAGGTGACAATGTGCGATACGGCACTTGGAGGCCTCTTCCGAGAACGAAACGACGCAGTTTCCAGTGTGGAACTTTGCACAGTAACTGTAGATCAAAATATATAGGTACTGCGCTCTGCATTTCCTGGCCAGGTTTCTCTTTATAAGCGGATCGCGTCAACATGAGCGCTTGTATGCTGGGGGTCTTTTGGAAATCGCGCATTGTTTGAGAGCTGAAAAACTCGAGAGTTTTCGTATCCAAACTGAG